TATGTAGCCACATGCTTTGTTTTCTGTCGCCACACCAAGTGCTCTTACCCTAACCCTGCCCTAGAAAATGCGAAAGCATGGAAAATACCAATATAAAAATTTCGGGACGCTTTTAAATGAAAGAAAAATAAAAACGTAGGCCTATGTATTTTAGTTTACAGAGTTTATACATAGCTTTTGAGTCTCCAATTTTTAAATCAAATTTTTTTCATTGTCTCAACAGCTGAGCTAAAACGAGCAATAATTGAAGGCATTACCTTAGCTGCTATGAATCCTAGTAGAACACATTTTAATATAAAATTGAATGGTCTTATGAAATGTCTGGCTAAACTGGCAGAAGGAGAAGATGAATTTCAAGACGTATTATTAAATTTATTTTACCATTCCATAATTTAAATGTTACATTAATGTTATTTAGTTTTAATTTGGACCGATGAATTATTAATTCTTTATCCGCAATTAATCGTGTAATCGAACTTTTTGTTTTTAAAACCAAAATTGCTTATCCCTTAAAATATTATCTGAAATCGGTATGTCTAATTTACTTTACTAGAGACTAACTAATAATTATGTTTCTCTTCAACCACTTCATTGTGATAATGTGTGTAAGTAATGAGGAAAGATAGTTATTTTGTTTGATATTCATGCATTTATATTTTAAAATTGTATATGTTTACTTGCATATACTAATAATACAATGATCTTATAGATACTCCCATTGCTTCCAAGATTTAAAGAAATTCTCGCTCTTGAAAATGATTCGGAACACAGAAATTTGACGGCGTGTTTAAAGGAGTTATGTAGGAGCATGCAGGCCAGCCAAAGAATTTTATTTGACGAAACATTCAATGACTTGTTAGGGCAGCTTACCACCAGTGAAGACGAAATTATTTCAGCAAATGCTAACTCAATATTTTGGAGATCAGGCCAAAGTACTGGAACTTTGCCTACTAAAAGAGGTTTGATTCTTAAATTTCAAAGAATGTGTATATTAAAATGAATCTGTGTGCTTTATGAAAGTACGAAGAAAAATATGTTAAGTGCACTACATTTTTACCTTTTTTCCCCCACTTTTCATTTGTTTCTTTAAAAAAAATAGACAATTAAACTTCCACTGTACGCTAAACACTTTAGCTCTTTATTATAACAAAAGAGGTTAACATGCTCTGTGATTTTATAAATTAATGGAAATTTTTTTCGCAGATATTGTCCTATCTGAAGAATTCCCGAAAAACTTCACAATTAATGTATCAGCAATAGGTGCAGGCTCGTTTGGTAGCGTTCATCTTGTGACTAATGAAGCTAGACCTGATGAGAAAAAATTCGTTGCTAAGAAATCGTGTCTAACGTCACTTGAAAACGGGGATAGTTTCCTAGTATGTTACATGGTTTATGAACTGTAAATTATATTAACAATAGCTGCAAAGCCTGTCAGAAAATAGTTAAAAAGGTGTTTTTTTCTAGTTTAGAACAAAGAATGACGAAATTTTTAAAGATAGTTTTAACAAAGTGTAACTAATCCTACGTTTTTTGCTGCGTGACCTTGTTTTCTAAAACTGAGTTACTTAAATGTAAACAATGCCCGCGTTATATTTCTAAGATCATGTATGTTGGGGCACTGGTTTGACAACACTACAGGATCAAGAGTACGTTATTTACTGTGCGTAAAAGTGAGAAACTATGGCGCCTACGTTAGTTTGGAATGCATCCTAAAATATTGGTAGGGAGGCATACGACATTTGATAATAAAACCGAGCAAGGGGTGTTACGCGACGCCCCTTCGGTAGTGTAACGTGGGCTCAGGATAGTCATAGTGCCCATACAATAGTCTGGGACGCCAAATCGTACCCTGCCGGGGCGATCAGGGATGCGCCAGTAGTATATTAGGTCCCTTTTGGGTTTCATGGGTGAGGCGGATGCGGATGCGGAGCAGGATGCGGAGCAAAGGATATATAGGAAAGTACTCACCCGCCTGGGTGAGCCGCAGGGACAATGACATATAATAAAATACTCCCCCACCTGGGTGAAGGTGGGTAAGGCGGAGGAACCGCAGGGACAACGACATATAGTAAAATACTCACCCACCTGGGTGAGCAGGTGGGTGAGGGTGTATGAGCCGCACCTGGTGGTGGGGGAGCAGGTGGCGCAGGCGCATGGGGAGTAGGTCAGTAGGTCAGGTGAGGGGGTGACCTTGTGACGTAATCAACATCGGTGACCTTTTTACGTACTTTAAAAGAGCTTTTATTTTTTTAAAATAAGTTTGTTGTTTTTAATTAGTTTTTAATGAGTTTTTAATTAGTTTGTTTTTTAATTATTTTTTTTTAAATTTTAAATTTTAAATTAAAATTTTGTAATTTTTATTAACTAGTTACGTAATTTGATTATTTGTTTGATTTTAATTAATTTTATTTCAATTTATAATTTTAATTTAATTACTTTGTTTATATTTTGTTTGTTTATTTTTTAATTAGTTAAATTGTTTTTATTTTAATTATTATTTTTTAATTTAAATTTGATTTTTAATTAGTTTTTAATTAGTTTGATTTTAATTAATTTGATTTTAATTTTTAAATTTTTTAATTTTTAAATTTTTATTTTGTAATTTTTGCTTGTTTTTTAATTAACTTTTAATTTTTAATTTTAATTTTTAAAATTATTATTTTTTAATTAATTTAATATTTGTTTTTGTTGTTTATTTGTTGTTTATTTGATTGTTTGGTTTAATTCATTTTATTTGTTTGTATGTTTTTTAATTTTTAAATTATCCACCACAACGAACGTGTACAAAAATAGAAAGTTCTTTGTCTCGACTTCCAACAACCATTAACGACATCTGTTTCAAATTTTCCCACACATCAAAGATATTGACCACCAACGAAGCTTTCCTTTTGACAGGTACCGCACGGAGATTAATGGCTTTTCTCGGTCGGTTTGACCTTGTTTATAGCTGACGGGTGAGTTCACTGAGTGCTTTGGTACGTACGCACCATCGGTGGAATGCGGATTAATGGGAATGCACTGAGTGCCACCCGTCGTGCAGCGTCGTGGTTTTTTTTATGACCCGGCCAGCGCGAGACAGGCTGGCGCCACACCTTCCACTAACAGTTATACGCACAGTGTGATACACCTTTTTTGAGATACACGTATACACATTCACAAGTACACTAAAATTATAACAAAACTCTTCTTATATTTTATTTATTTATTAACGTTTTTTCCAAGTCATCAAAGGCTTTTAAAATATCATGCTGTAAACTTAACAAACGTTCAATACATACTCGCTTATAGTAACATGGGTGAGGTAGGTGAGCAGGTGGGTGAAGGGAGAGCATGTGGGTGAAGGTGGAGCAGGTGGGTGAAGGGGAAGCAGGAGTAGGAGTAAAGGATATATAGTAAAAGACTCCACCACCTGAGTGAAGTGGGTGAGGAGGTGGGTGAAGGGTCAGCAGGTGGGTGAAGGGAGAGCAGGTGGGTGAAGGGGGAGCGGGTGGGTGAAGGGGGAGTAGAAGTAGAAGTAAAGGATATATAGTAAAAGACTCCACCACCTGGGTGAGGGTGGTGAGGAGGTGGATGTTAATTTTAATTTTAATTTTTTATTTTTTAACATCTGTTGACGTTAAGGTTCTATAACTATATATTTAAATACATTTTTTGATTCAACCGAGTTTACTTTCCCTAACGTAAGTAAATGTAAAAGGGGGTTTCCTATAGATCTGTAATGAATTAGGCCTTTTTGACTATGACTTGTTGTCCAGACGTATTTTACTATATCTCATTGTCCCTGCGGCTCACCCACCCTCACCCACCTGCTCACCCAGGTGGGTGAGTATTTTACTATATGTCGTTGTCCCTGCGGTTCCTCCGCCTCGCCCACCTTCACCCAGGTGTGGTAGTATTTTACTATATGTCATTGTCCCTACGGCTCACCCAGGCGGGTGAGTATTTTACTATATATCTTTTGCTCCGCATCCTGCTCCGCATCCGCATCCGCCTCACCCATGATACCCAAAAGGGACCTAATATACTACTTGCGCCTGATTCAAGTTAGTGAACAATAATGCCCGATTTTATCTATAGCCTATCGCAATGTTTTAAACGAACGTATGCTCCATAGCGCTCAAGTTCGTTTAAGAAGTGAGATAGGCATCGCGCGGAAACGGGAACCTAGATTAATACAAATTAAAGGTTAATCAGTAGAAACATGTTCTGTATTATTATATTAGGCTTATAAATATAATAAACTCATTTTGTTAAATTGTGTTTTTGTTTTTAAAACAGCGACTTCATTCGAAAATATTTACTAAACCCCATTAACGGTACATATATTTATCATTTTTATTTCAATTGTAAAATAACTTTTAAATGACTTACATTCAGTTTTTAATATTCCTTTTCGGTGGTGAAAGTGTATCATCTAACTTTAGATCCACTTCCAACCTCACCCGACACACCAGAGCAGAGACCTATGTCTATTATCTACAACCACAACCACAATTTATTAGCATTTACAACATACAGAGGCATAGCGACGGGGGGGGGGGAGGGGGCGGACCGCACCGGATGACACCATTTACGGGGTGACAGCAAGGCAAAAAATAGAAAAATATAGAGAGAAAATTTGAGGGGGGGGGGTGCAAATTGAAAGTTTGAGGGGGTGCAAATCGAAAATCTAAAGTTTGTCCCCGGGAAGGGTCGCTACGGCCTCTGGGGGGGGGGGTTGACACCATTAAGTGCCGCACCGAGTGACACCGGACCTCGCTACGCCACTGATAACATAATCACTTAATAGAGACAGGCTCAATTACAAGTCGTTTTTGCACGAGGCACATATTTCTGTCAATAAAACAAGAGTTAATAACAACACAATATTTCCACTTACCTCAGTGGCTATAGTTTTCCTCATTAAATTAAGTAATGAAAAGTCTAGTTTATTTGTAGGAAGCTGAATCAGATAGGTATGTATTACTCTGTAAATATTCTTTTTTAAAAATATTTTTTAGGATATGTGTAAAAAAGAGGCAACGATTTTACTTAAAGTAAAGCACAGACGAATAGTTCAATTTCACGGATTTAAGAAAACAGAAGACGCATTTTACATATTTTTAGAATTTTTGAAAAATGTAAGCAAAACTCCATGAAATTATTTAATTTTAATATTTTAATGAGTTTTGTAATATAGAGTATAAAATATTGTCAGTTCTATTAGATATGAATAATTGTTTTTGTCATTTTTAGGGCACACTAGCAGAATTTATATCTAAGAGAGGTAGTTTGGATGAAAAGTTGACACGACACTTTACTACTCAAATTCTGGAAGGTATTGAGTACCTGCATGAGAACAGTATTCTGCATAGGGATATCAAAGGTTTGTTGCATATCATAGAGAGAGAGAGAGGTAATTTTGATGAAAAGTTTGACAAGACACTTAACTATTCAAATTCTGCATTGTGATATTAAAGATTACCCTCTTCCCACGTCCACCTAACTGAAACAGTGAGTAGCTGAGAGTTATTTTAGAAACTAGAAATAGAACAAAGTGCCACTTTCGTTTGTCAGAGGTTAATCACTAATTGATCATAATTTAAGAATAAGATCTTATATGCATCTGTATAGCTGACTATCTAAGTAAAACAGTACTTAAGTTTTTGAATTCACGTGCAATAAAGTACAGTTTAATCCGTTTAACGGAAATAATTTAAAACCTGATAGAAACAAGAGCATACAATTTAATATTTATATGTGAAATGACATCTACTTAACTTAAATGCTGCTCTATATATTGGTTAGGAGTAACATAAAATAAGGTAAGTATCACTTTTGGTGAATAGAAGTTGCTCAAAAGCTGACAAAACACTTTACAGTGAAATAATATTTATATATAAAATGTCTTCAACATAACTAAAACGGTACTTATGTTTTCATGTAAAACGTCAAGGTTTTACACAACATCCTTAATACTTCGTATTCGGAAACTATCCAAATAGCAGCATGATTACACTTTTTCTATGCTCTGTAGAAATTAGAGTAAAAATTGTAGCTTTCGTTACAAATATTTAAATTTTCAATAAAAGTGTAGTAAATATTCTGCTTTTCTATTGCCACGTTTAAATACAATCCGATAACTAAAAACATTGCCGAAATAATATAAAATTAAATTTTGGCCCATTTGTAATGAAAACTTACATCGATTATTGTTATCATGTGTAATACAAACTTTTTTTTCTAGGCAATAACGTTCTTATGGAAGATGACTGGAACCTAAAGATTACAGACTTTGGTCTATCTGAGTTTGTAGATGCCAATGGGGTCTCTACAGAAATTGGTACAGTGCGATACATGGCACCAGAAGTGATTTATACAGAAGGCAACGTAATACGAAACTACACAAGCAGAGCAGATATATGGTAAACATTTGGATATTTGAAAATAGTTTATGAAAAATAATAAAAAAACGATTCAATATAAGAATATCTATCCCTACTGCCTGCTAAACATAGATTGCAAATCTATTATTTATTATTCAATAAGAATGTGCTCTTTACATTATCTAAAATATAAGACGGAATTATTTGTTTATTTTCAAATCTAATTTTAGGGTTATTTAATAGCAATTTAGTAATAAGATTAATTTTTCTGTCCATATATATATATATATATATATATATATATATATATATATATATATATATATATATATATATATATAAACGCTTTTTTCTTTATTGCAGGAGTGTAGGTTGCACTGCGGTAGAGATGGTGACAGGAAAACCTCCGTATTCATCAGTTCTCACACCCCAAATAATCTTCCACACTGCTTTGGGGAATCCACTACAATATCATCTGCCTGAATCTTCATCCGTTTACTTCAAGGAGTTTTTAAACAGGATTTTACATCGGGACTCTAAGTTAAGGCCAACAGCTGAATGGCTGTTAAAAAATGATCCGTTTATTCTGGGCAGTGACGGTCTGGAGAGTTTAGATGACATTAAATGATTTTTTAAAATGAAAATCAATAATCAGTAGTGTTACAATACACATCAGCACATGTATATAAAACTAATCTGCATCAGTGTTGATAGAAAAACACGTGTGAACAATATTCAAACCAAGGCGTGTAGCCAAACTTGATTTTGTAATTGGATGATTTACTTAATGGAAAATCAATTTATTATTTAACATAGTTTGAGAACTAATTTAATGGACATAGCATCAATTTGTACATGTCTGAATATTTTAATGTATTTTAAATTTTAATGATTCATATATATATATATATATATATATATATATATATATATATATATATATATTCATATATGGATAGATGGATAGATGGACCGTGAGACAGACAGAAACACAGACAGACAGAAAGGAAGGAAGGCAGGCAGGCACACAGACAGTTATATATATATTTAGATGTAATGAAATTGACTTATCTTAAACTTTATTGGGAAAAACATGTATTTAAAATATAACATTATGACTTTATATTAATTATTATAATAAACTTGTTGTTTGTTTTATATTTGGACCCTTATAATTTTATTTTTATAATGAAGTTGAATGATATTTTGCAATAGTAAAATTAGATTTCTATCACTATATGTTGTTGTAATAAAATCTAAAATGAGAAAAACAGAGTATTGTATATTTTTTATGCATTTAATATTTAATACATTTATTTTATTTTTAAAATGTTGACATTAAGTACAATTAAATACAACTTAAAGAACTAAAAAGCTTACAATTTAGTAATGGACAAAAGCATGCAATACATTTTGCTATACAAGCTAATATTTTTAGTTATTTAAATAATGGTGCATTATTACATAATTTAAACAAATCCTTTTTTATTCTTTTCATTTTATAATTTTATTCAAGGTTTTTATAAACATGTTTTACTTACATTTTTTTTTCAATATTTGATCTTTCTGTCTTTTTTAATTTTTTGCTGATTACAATTATACTGCATGAACAAAACTCCTCTTACTTAACGCTACTATTTCCGTGTTTATTATTGTTCACTTTAATCTTTAAATGTACACTACAATTATTTATAATATTTTTGACATATTTTTGTTATAATAATATATGCTAAAAACTGTTTACTGTCGAGTGATGTTTTATTGATGTTCAAATTTGTTTATGATAAAAATTGTTTTGACTGTATCCTTTATTACACTTTATACTCTACTCCATGAATATAATAAACAGCACAATTTTTAAAAGATTTCATGAAATATCTTGCAGCAAAAAACATCATTCTTATACCCAATCGTCTTAATCGAATTTATATAGTTATACTCTCTGAGTTACCGGCTCATTTGCCAGTGACATTTTTTAATTTAACGACCAAATACGTTAAAGAAATGTTTAATTAAGACATGTTATTCGTGTTTTTCCTCTTCGCTCTTAATTTAAGTGTTGGAAGGGATTCCCTCCAGTACAAGTAAGTATATGTGTTAACTGGTTATGCGCCAATTAGACAATTTACTCAAAATTCAGCCTGCTTTTCTTTTTAGAATTGCCCCCATAATAAAAAACAAACTACAAGGTAGCAGTTGGTTGATTTTGGAGTTGTCTCTCATAGAAGAGTTGCTGTCCACTGCTCATCTGCCCGAGGGTTCGAACTTGAGATTTTTCGGTTTAGAATCCATGGGCTTTACCGTCTCGACCATGCCGATAAGTTATTGATTACTGATGCTATGAGGTATGTAATTTCGAAGCCCATGCCGACTCAAATTTAAAATGTTTATTATATTTAATTGACTTCATAACGCTGGTTGATATTTTGTAAGAGAATTATCTGCACCCCTAAGAAGTTCATTGAAAACTCTAATGACAAAAGCTGAAAATATTATTTCAAATAACTTTTTGTTAGTTTTTTTTTAAATATTTAGTTATTTCTCACCACATCCAAATGTAGCTCTGTGGGTATAAAGTGGTTGGTTTCAAATATGTGATTGTATCTGATACGTTTTTTTCAATAAATATTAAGAAAGAAATTATATATATATATATATATATATATATATATATATATATATATATATATATATATATATATATATAGAGAGAGAGAGAGAGAGAGAGAGAGGCCATATATATATATATATATATATATATATATATATATATATATATATATATATATATATATATTTATTTATTTATTTATTTATTTTCATTTTCATTAAGAAGGCATATGATTTTCATAATTTTAAATTGATATATTTGGTCAATATGGTCCAATTAATACTTTTATTTTTTCATCATTATATCAATGTACATCAAAATACTTTTTGTCAAATCTTGAATTTTTCTATATCAAATTTTCTGCGTGATTACCTTTCTCATTCATGAGCTTCGACGCACTATAGGTAACACTAAATCTGCTAATTTGTTCCAATGTTATTATTCATTTAAATCTTTAAATTACTTTTAAAATTCATTTAAATTTAATTATTGGTTTATTTTCATTTATTTTTTTTAATTCAGTTTTATAAAGATTGACGTCTTATACTTTATTTACTTTTAATAATAATTCGGCGCATTTTAAGATAAGTGATTTTATTCCAATACAGTTGTTGAGTGTGTTGTATCGCTTCCTTAAGTGTGATCGAAGTATTATTTAAAAGTAAATAATTTAACCTAAAATAGTTTCTTCCTAGTATTATTCACATTTTTAGAGAAATAATTCACAAAAACGATATTTTTTTTTATTATTCGAGGCGTAATATTTTTTTCGCACATGTAAATTAAACATACTTTAAAACACATTTGTATATATTTATTAAATAAATAACTCTCAAATAGTATTATTTTTTAAAGAATAAATCTATTAGTTTTCCCAATAGAGCAAAAAATTACATTTTTTAAATCACATAGTTCATTTAGCTAAATTTAAAAAATGCTTCAGGGAAAGTTAAGATCAAAATATCCATTCATAGCCGAGATAAGACGAATAGGTGAACTCTATTTTATCAACCTAATGAATCTCAAGGTGTGAAAAAGTAAATTGACTAGTAAACTATTTTAAACATATATGTTGATCGATAAGCCGAAATAAAATTTAATTTGTAGGTTGGTAAAAATGTTACGTACATGTGAAATCCACAGATTCAATACCATATTGTTTTTGAATAACATTGCTATACTAGAATAAAGTATATGTAGATTTTACTAACACACACAGAACCACATAGCCAATTAATAAGGCAACCAGAAAATGTCTTGTTGTCAAAGAATTGTTGCATGATTTAGAGATTATCAACAACAAATAACCAAATATTTCAAACAAAGCAATGTTTAACACAAAATAGCATGAATGTTGTATCAAAAATTACGAGACTCCCCATAGAAAAGAATTCCGATTGTAAAGCATGGATCAAAATTAACATTTTCTCTGTTTATAATTGAATAATGGATTTTGTGAGTGTGTGTATTTTTGCATACACAAATAATATTGTCCATAGATTTTGTAAAACTTTACACGAAGATGAAGTTACTTGCCATGACCTGAAAGTATAGCGGCAAAAGCTGTAGACCTATTTCTGTGTCTTTGACATACTAGAGAATAGTTTCTTTCATGCATCTCTTCTATTAGGGAGTGGGAGAGTGTAATATATAGATATAGTAAAAGCCCGAAAATATGTTGAAAAGACTGAATATCTTTCTTCAGCAACCAACATTTCATTTTTCAATGAGTTTTTAAAGGGGACAAAGTTAAAACAATAACACAAACGCGTCTCCCCCCCCCCCCCCAATAAATAACATTTTAAAATTTTTTGTTATTATGATGCAATAATAAAACGTTGGTCGCTTACGAAAACTATTTAACTCACGCTAGATTATTTTCAACATTTTTTCCTTATTAAGTATAATAATGTTTTAACAATGTTTTACGTCTAATTTAAAAATCTATTGAAATTGATGTTTAAATGTTATTGCAATACGATCTATTAGGTTAGATATTATGATCACTACCATTCGACCAAACAATTACAATTGGTAGTGTGGAGCGAGGGGTACTTTAATATGTACATTAATATAAGTCGTTTTCATTAACTTAAGACTTGTCGGTATTTCCAGTGTAAAAATACATACAACAAAAAAACTCAGTTCCAATGAAATACAAGTTAATTCGCTATGAACACTAATCAATTGCATTAAATTACTATCAGAAACAGATTCATTATACCTTGACTCAATGCTTCAACTATGGGACGGTAGAGTGCTAGACTGCTAACTCGAAAGTGTCGAGCTCGAATCAGAGGCGTAGCGCCCATTCCGGCGCCCGGGGTGAACTATACGCTTTTCAAGGGATAAAGTGGTCAGCACTATACCTAGCCGCAATTTCATTAAGCTGGGTAAACTTGAGTCCGAACGAAGAACCAAACTTAAGACTATAAGCTTAACAGCCAAACTTTCTACCAGTCGACCACGACGTCTCATCAAAAGAAAAGATAGGTAAATCTAGGTATTATGACTAGGCTAAAGACTTGATAAATATTTACCTTTTAATATGTTCTCCCATTTAGGTTGCTGCGTGATCTCAACAAACAATTTTCAAATATTTCATTTTTTTTTAAATTTTACTCATAATATTTTTTGCAGGTAAACGTTTAACTTTTTAGCGCAATTTCCTTACAGGAATTGCGATTTTTAACTCGTCATTTCTGTATGGATGGATGGATGGATGTGGGCAGCTTTGAGTCGTATCTCTTCCTCAACGAAGCAATATCGAGGACTAGTTCCAAAAGCAAATATGTTAAGCAAGTTCCGAGGATGATTGTGGGCCAAAAAAATTCCCGGAATTCCTTCCTGGATTTCCCGGAAAAGCCAAAAAACCTAAAAAAAATGCAGTTTTTGGCCCCTGTCTCGGCAACCAGACCACTTAGCGACTTGAGACATTTACCAATCGATTCCTTCCATGATTTAGAACAATATTGCCAAAGAAAGTTTTCAAAAATATCCTTTCGTTTGGTCACAAAAAATTAATTAAGAACAAATAAGTTTATATTTATAGGATGATCTTCACTACTTTTTAAACTGAGCATCGTGTAGGCCT